TGGTTCGCGTTTGGAACAGCAGAATTAATCCGAGGATTAGCATTCAATTAGGAAGGCTTGTGGTTTCCCTGATTACGCTTTACATTTGTCTACTGTTCTTGCGTTTCGAGGTGGCGTATGGATGCAATGGTAACGTACCGTACCCCCTTCCTTTGGATCTGAACCCCAATACGAGATGCGAATTGGTAAATAAATAAAAAAATGTATCAATCTTATTTTGAAAAATTTGAACTGAAAATTTGAAAATTATATTTGCGAAATGTTTGCAATTTTTTTTAATACTTTGTAATCGATAATCTAGAATTCTTGTAGGATCCTTGAAATGTCCTTTTTAGGCTCTTCGTCTCTTATCTTTAATTCGCGTTTGGTCTTTGTCTCTTTACGTCATCCCCATAAAAAGTCGCGAGCCGGATAATAAAGAAACGATAAAGACATTAATAACGAACGATGACACAGGCTAGAAAGTCTGCGTGTAGATGGGCGAGAGAGAGAGAGAGAGAGATACAGAGCGCGACGAGAACGAAACGTAATGAGTTCGTATAACGGGTGAGTCCTTAATTCAGCAAAGAATTCATATAGATACGTATATACGAGTACTATTAACAGTACTGTATATGTACAGTTTAATCAGTTATTGCCTTTATAATCGAGGAACTTGGTAATTCGGGAAGAAAATGTACTCCAGGAATTTTTCTTGGTTCCTTTCCCATCTCTCGTACCTAACCTTCCTATATTCGTCTCTGAATTGAATTATCCCCGTGATGCGATTCTGACTCTCTTTAATAAAATTACACCCGGTTATAGGATAAACCTACTGCACACTGTGCGTATTGTGTGCGTATACGTTTCTCTTTTATGAATTTACATTAACTTCGTGCTACACTAATGCCTCTAATGGGAGAACATAATGTCGCCATGACACGCCTCGTAACGCCCGGGAGCTCACGGGAAAGCTTATTAAAATGTTAAATTTTGAAAAATTCAACGTACTTACTCTGTCGTCATTCTTACAGGATGTTCTCAATAATTCTGTAAAAGTGTATTGTCAAACAAACAAATATAAGAGGTTCTCACAATTTCGGTGATATTATTTTATCTCGAACAATTGACACGTTACCGTGTTACGTGATACGAATTCACGAGCAACGTTCTCAAAGCTGCTTCAATTAAACCACAGTATGGTTATTATTCCATTTTTTTCTCTTTTCTACGTAAATGTAAAAGCTATCACAATCGTACGACAATAATACTGCGAGCGCGTGTCTAGATTTAGTTACTTAATAAAGTCTGGTATTTGAGTCACGTAGTTTATTTCACGGCTCGAGTCCACCTAGCCATCTAGCGGCGGCCGCTGGAACCTGGATAACATTTCTTTCGTCGACTATTTCTCGTAACGGAATCTCAACGGTTTTTCTCTCCGTGGCGACGTGCGCGTTCCCGTGTCGTTGGGTCAGTGTTGTGTGTATTTTCCCTTTCGTTAAGAGTGTAGTGAAATAATAACGACAGGGAAGAACAGAAGAATGTGGAAAACATTAGAAGCTGACGTGCGGCACGCAGAAAATGTTCCTTTGTGCCGGTGGACCTCTCGTTGCTCAAGGTATTGCGTTATGAAGTTATAACCTCGCAGGCCGAAGGTTCGCAGTGACCTATCGTGCTGATAGAAAAAGTATTTTAATTATGCAACTCTACATTTACAATATATATCTCTGTCAAACGCGCTGCGGTTTGTTATCGTTCGCCCATTTCGCATCTAGATGACCAACACGCTTGCAGTTCTCTCGCAATTACGTTTCCCTTATCGCTCTCTCAGGTGGCGGGTGTACATGTACGCGATCGGCGACAAAGAAAAATAACCAGGAGGAACAATAAAAAGATAATATTCAAAGAGCACAAATTCAACTATAATGACTGATTGTATCTGTAACCAAATAACACGTAATATATATATATATATATATATATTTTTTATATACATGTTACACATTTAAAATTTAAGCGTAGCACCACGTGCGCGACTAACAACAGAGTTGAGATTACGGTGATTCAGGAGGTGGCCGTGACGGGAGTCGATTTTTTATATACATGTTACACATTTAAAAACTATAATGACTGATTGTATCTGTAACCAAATAACACGTAATATATATATATATATATATATATTTTTTATATACATGTTACACATTTAAAATTTAAGCGTAGCACCACGTGCGCGACTAACAACAGAGTTGAGATTACGGTGATTCAGGAGGTGGCCGTGACGGGAGTCGAAATTTTCATTGAAATTAGGTAAAATGAAATCGCGATGTTTCATCTCCCCCCGCCGTTTCGTTTCCTTGCCACCCTTGGGGTCGCCTGGTATAAACTAAACTCGACGACGACCCTCCCGATTAAAATGCTAAAAGCTGCACGAGGATCGATTCCCTAACGCTCTTCAACTCTCTCTTTGACTTTCTCAGTCTGTTTGTTCCTATGGTTGCAAATATTTTAAAGCGTCCCGACGGCCGTCGAACTTCCTCAGCTACAGTTCCTGACACACAGACTTGCAGCGTCCTTGAGTCTCTCTGTTGTTTTTTCTTCCGAAGGACAAACTACCACGTCGGAAAGTCAGATTGCGACACTAACGCTACTGCTTCTCCTTTCTGCCACTGTGGCGCTAGTGTCGTGGAAAATGGCCGCTGACTTAGAAAAGCGTCTCCTTGCTCGTGCAGCATTACCCAGGTATCTGTCCTTGGGCTCCCTTCGACATTATTAATTCCAGCCAGGAGAACGCGCCTTTAATAATCCGTCCTGCTGGAGCCATATTTATATATATACATATATCGTACCGGGACATGTATAAATATATATAAATACTCAGAGAATTATACACTCCTGCATATATATTTACATAGAAGCTAGGTAGACCTTTCGTGATAATGCGATTCCGGCTGGATGACTTCGACAGACTCTAACACGCTAACACGTTTCGAGTTACTTCCACCATTTTCCTTGACGCTTTCCATCCACATTTTTCCAGGCATCGGTCGACCCCGTTTCTCATCTCGATGTCTCTCATGCTCTTGACTCGAAGCCGCCTCGTGTTAGCTATAGTCTATGCTCGCTCACTCATTTCCACTCGCTGTCAGCTGGGAAACTTAAATGCATCGGTGCGTCTTTTCTTTAATATTAAAATAGCTACCGATACACGTCGCAGATAACTTTGACAGGTACGCGTGGATTTTTTAGAGATTATTTTTATTACAAATTATAGTATCGTTTTAATACAATCGATTGGGGTTGTTGGTAGAAACTTTTTGTACAAAATAGACTGGAGGGAGGAAAACAAAATTAATATTTATAAAATGACACGAAGAGATTGATACTGATTTTTTTTTGTTATTTATTTCCACGTGCTGTACAGCGCACGTGTCTATAATGCTTTTCTACGGTTTTTCTGTCGCTCCTATCCCTGGAGTCTCGTAAGTATCTATATGCGTGCTTTGTTTTCAAACCAGTGAATTTCCATACATTTCTATCGTCTATACTTTCCTGGAATTCTCCGGTGAATTTCTTCCAGCGGATCTTGAAGCACTCCCCTCCCCCTCCCCGCCCCCGGAAGACCTTCCTCACTGAAATCCTTCACGTCCACGTTCGTAATATACATGGCGATGTATCATAGTAACAGCAGATAAATGGTATCCCTGCTCTGGCATCGGGATACTCTGAAAACAAAAAGTCCCTAGGCCGTCGATGTGCATTCTCAGCAAAAAGCTACCTCGACGAAGAGTACGATGTTGCTGAAGAGCAGCCCCTTTCAAAGAGGGGTGATTTTAATTTTTTGTAATTTTTCTTCTGTTCTCTCGGTTGGTATATTACCCGATATTACCAACCTAAAATGTCACTATATTCCTACTACAGTTGCCATTCGTTACCGGTCTGTTTTGACTTGGACCATACCTGGAGCATTAATTCTGGTTATTTTTTTACTTCAAGGCACAAAGTGTCATCGACTTGATTTTTTTTTACATTTTTCGAAATCCAAATTTCATCCTCTCCTTCCTTTCACGCACATCCTGCCAGGAAACACAAGTCGCCACAGGCGCCGCACTCCCGTGGATAATCGACATAGAAATATAGGTGGCGATAGCGTAGGACAGTCTGGGGCGCCTAGGAGGCGTCGCGACGTCCAATTAACGGGACGTTGGCGCCCGATATATCAAGCGCTTTGGTCCCCAAGCAAAGTCAGGCCAGTCCTGGACGCTGTTCATTGTGCTTTATTTATCATCTTTATAACCTATAATACGGTCCAGGGCTTTAATGTCTCTAATACACAGCGTCCACTGTACTGTTATTATTATTCATCTGCCTCGCCACGTATAATCAATTCTAATCTCGATCCTGACACCTAAGCCAAAATTTTACCAAATTTTCCTAGTTCACTCAAATTTTTCTTTCTCTTACTCTTTGGTGTACTATTTTCATTATTTTTGTGAAAAAAAAAAAAAAAAAATTTTTTTTCCCTTGCTCTCCCCGATTCAATCTCCATAAAATTCTAATCCTACGGGATACCCCCTTTTGTCGGCTTTTCAATAATTGCCGTCAGCCCAGATACGAAACAAGCTACAAACTGACAGACGTTCCCGTCCCGATAACCGCAGAGCAAACAAGTTTCCACGTTGGCCGATACCACGTGTGTACATTTTGTGAAGGGTCGCGCGCCTATCGATACTCCTTGCTTGCGTTCGATTAATCAATTAAAACTTGCAAGGACTGAGTCCTCCAGCCGTATAGCAATCGAGCGCAGGATCATCCCAGTAGAGGAAGCACAAGAGTCTTTGGAGGCTGTGATCTACTTTCTTGTATATCAGTATATGTGTGTTTTCAAAAATAATTATAATACATTATTACGTATATTTTATTAACGAAATTTTTTTTTTCATTTTATAAATTCACCTAAAATCGTTAAAATTGTTTGCTATACGCGTTTACATTAATCACTGTTATTATTCTGTTCACAGTTTGTGGCGACATACACGGCCAGTTTTATGACCTGATGAAATTATTCGAAGTGGGTGGACCACCCTCCACGACAAAATACCTCTTCCTTGGCGACTACGTAGACAGGGGTTACTTCAGTATCGAGGTGAGATTTCGAAATGGGGGGGGGGGATTTTTTGGGGAGGATTAAATTTTTTTTTCAAATTTTATCAACTAACGGTCGTAACGATGACGTGCTTCAGGTCCGTATTAAGAGTGACTCTTGGTATGGGTGGGGAAATACAGGAGAGTCCCCTAATTATCGGGTTCTCCAATTAGCGATGTGGGCTGCTAATTACTATTGTCAACAGGCACCCTTTCTAAAAAGGAAATGAAAATATATATCATCCCCCATCTTTTTAAAATTTCCTTTGCTTTCTCCTGTCTTGCAGGGCTTCATTCTCTTGATCGAACGACGCATCGTACTTTCGTACTGTATCGGGGCTGTCCTATATTTTACTACCCCCTTAACGTTTCGGTAGTGCCGGTCGATTTACCCCTTCGTAAACTTTAAGAAGGTTCAAGAGTGGGAGCAAACCCTGGATCCTGACTTATTGCTGCATCTTTGTTTAAGGATTTTTTTCTTTCTTTTTTTTTTGATCTATAGAAACGTCTTATTTTTTTTTTTTAGATTTTTGAATTTTTTTTTCCTTCCAAAATCTTATAGGAGAAACCCGTAGGACAGGATCCAATGTTTTTTGTCTACCCTTCCAACCTCCTGTTTCGCCTCACTGTATTGGGACTAATCAGCCATGATAATATCCTTGGAATAGATATTCTTATACGTTAAATGTATACCTGTATATTATATCTCGTGCAGGTAAAGGGACTTTAGGTCGGGTTAGGCAGTGCCTACCTAGTTTCTCGGGAGCCCCGACCTCTTTGCACCTTAGCCAATCTCAATCTTGAACTCGTGATTTTCTTAATGTTCATTCCTGATGACGTCATCCCGATTTTACGTTACATCCCTTATAATCCATCGTACATCCACCCTCCCTTAACAACTTTTGTGATCGTCAGAGTTGCGCCACCATTCTTGCCCCGCCAGAGTCCCTTTTGTCTCTCAACCCTTCGAACGAAGGGGATGAAGTAATTCGATAAACTCATTGGTCTGGAGGGTATTATGTGGCCAATGGGATTATGTTGATTTTCTCTCTCTTTTTTTTTTGTAGAAAATTTTATTATGGACGTAAATTTTATTTTAGCCACAAGTCTTCAGTTCCTTTTTCATAGAATGGAGATTTTACTCGGCTTGGTAGATATTAAAATTAAAAATTTTTTTTTTTGTTTTCTGGAAATTTCTGAATTTCGAATCTATAATGAAATTTCATTTTGCTGTCTGCACTAATCGTGTCTGATCGGCTACTTTGTCTGATGCTCCAAGCTTCTCGTGTGGTACTGAGGTGTAACCGTAGCACGCGTAGAATCGATCCGATGGGCATTTTGAGATCGCAGAACTTGCAATATCAGAGCAATGCAAACCGCCGGCTGGAAACGTGGCTGATCGATACTCGGCCTCGGTTCTGGTATAAATCAGCCCGTTCTCCGGCACTCCCGTAGGAAGGATCTTCCCGCGGGAGTTTTCCTTTCTGATGGCAAATACAGAAAACGTTGGTATCGACTTTGGTTCTTGTCTGGGCTAAGACGAATAAGAAAAAAAAAACCAGGATTTTTTTCCTATGCTCGTATGTATGTCGAAGACACTATAGTCAAAGACACAAGTCCGAGAGAGACAGAGACAGAGAGGAAGAGTGAGAGAGTGAGAGAGAGAGGGAAAGAAGCTCTACACAATTTTCCATATATTTATATTAAACCAATATGTATCTCGAGTCAGCTTGTCAGTCGGGGGTGAACAGGGGGAGAAATATCGTATTATTTTATTTTTTCCTGGTTCGTACAAAAAAAATTTTCTCGATCTATTTCCCATTTTCACGCTCATTAATCGCCTAAGAATATTTCACATCGTACTTCACTGATGACGTTATTTTGCTGAGAAATTTTTTTTTTTGAAGGATCTCATAATTATTTATTTCAATTTCACACGAAAGCTCGACAAGTAATACATTTCACAGTTTTTTGTTCTCGGTATAAGAATTTTTAAAATTTGCCACTCAGCCACCTGAACTTATGTAAACTTTTCGCAGTGCGACTGCCCCACGTCGTGATTATTTCGCTTGAGCGCGGTACGCTCTCGTTGTCGTTGCAACGGCCGATGCATTATGCATGCGCCTTAAAGTATGCAACCGGTAAGAGCCTATAAGGGAAGAAAAATGAATTTTTCCCAAGATACGAGATGACTGCGTCGGAAAGCCACCCCTATCGT